ATGTACATATAATAGTAGTGTTTGTTCTATGTTATCTATGTACATATAATAGTAGTGTATGTTGTATGTATCTATATAAATATAATACTACTGTCTCTTGTATGTTATCAGAGGAAGATTTGTAGTGATGGCATTAATTTTAACACTAAAAAGTGTGACACTCAAGACACAGCCCTGAGGGACTCCAAGTTCCCGTGGGAAGGAACGGGAAAGAGTGGAACCCACACGGACTTGGAATCGCCTATTCTGTAAAAAATTGCGGATAAAAATGGGTAAATGGTCACGCAACCCATAGGAGTGGAGGTCCTGCAAAATTCCGTACCTCAACGTAGTGTCATAAGTCTTCTCAAGATCGAAGAACACAGAAACAAGGTGTTCTCTCTTGAGAAAGGCTTCCCTGATCGACGTTTCAAGTCGAATCAGATGGTACATGGTGGATCGCTGTCGACGGAACCCACATTGGGTGGGCGAGAGGATCATGTTGGATTCCAGGAACCAAACAAGACAAGCATTAACCATCCTCTCTAGAACCTTACAAAGACAACTAGTCAAAGCGATGGGATGATAATTAGAAGGAATCTTGGGATCCTTCCCAGGTTTGGAGAAAGGGAGGACAATAGCCTGGCACCAAGCATCTGGAAAAATATGTTCCTGCCAAATCTGGTTAAAAATAACCAGAAGAATAACAAACGAGGCAGGAGAGAGATGGCGCAACATCTCATAATGAACATCATTAGGTCCGACTGATGTACTGCCAGATCGATGAATTTATCCTCTTTCCTGACTAACAGTGTCTTGGATAAGAACAACCGGTCTGAGGATGTAGAGAGAATGAGAAAGCAGTCTGCTGACAAACAGCACAAATCACTTCAACCGGTGATGTCTGTAAGTCAGCAGGCACGAAAAATAAACCTTCAGGTGTTGAGAAAGAGGATGTAATGTAACCTTAATATACTTGTAAGATAACTTGAATTGTCATTTGGGATGAAGGACCCAAAGTGACTTGAGAAATCCAGAGAATACTGGAGACTCAAAGAATATTTAGACATGAGAATTGAACAGTAGTCCAGAAGAGCTCCTTAAACAAAGCGATTGTGGAAAACGCTGAAACTCCTTCCAAAGAGCCAGGTCAAAAAACAAATTATGGTTGGCACTACTGATCGAAGTGGGTTCAACCTCCTTTCAATACACCATTGCCAAAATGCGTGTCATTTCTGTTGATAAATGTTCATCTCAGGAATAAGCGAAAACTAAGACAGATACATGGAAACCTTGGAAATTAAACTCCTATGCCATACGAAAAACTTGAGCTTCTGGATAGCCGAGTGTACCATGTCAGATCGTGGTTGCCTCCACAGAGACGGCCTAAAAAGAAGTGGAAGAGGTGGACACTCCGGTAGATACTGCAGAAGCAGAAACCAGGGCATAGCTGCCAATCTGGTGCTATCAACAGGACCCAACAATGTGTTGGAACAAATCATATTTATTACTCTGGGTAACATATGAATTGAAGGGAAGGCCAAGAGTTGTAATCCTATCCTGTCCTGACAGAATGCATCCATTGCTAAAGCCTAAAGGTGAGATACTGGAGACAGAATTGCCAGTTGTTGGGTGATCCAATGAGAAACCAACCACAGAACCTTGCAATGCAGCATCCATTCTGTCAAGAGAACCTGTTTGGATTGAGACAATTGACCTGCTATTGCAGGCATCACCCATGGAACATGGCAAGCTAGTGGGGTGATATGATAGGAATGGTCCCGAAAAAGAAGGTCCAAGATTAAAAAACAAGGAGGCCTGAACCAAGTGCCTCCTCAATGAGAAACACAAGATACCACCACAGAAATGTCAGACTGAAGCCTGACAATCCTCCCCTTAATAAGTCCAGACCATGAGGCATTGCCTTTTAAAGAGCAAGAAGGACTAAAATATTGTGTAGGGAAGCCTCTTCATCTGTGCATAGATCCTGGAATTCCTGACAGTTGGTATATTACCTCATCTCTAAAGCAAGGCATTCGTGAAGAGATGGAACCCTGGACGAGGTGGCGGTAGAGGAACTCTAGGTAAAATAGATTAGTAAATTGTTTGAAAGTCTGTTATTCATTTTTAATGAACTAAATAATAGATTACAAAAATTCTTACTTTTGTGTTGCAGAACTGTCAGGTAAACTGTTTACAAATGTTTATTTGGTCACTACAACTTAATACGAATTTAGTGAATTTTTGCAAGAGTACAGCCTAATAAAATATTTGAATATCATTTCAAAATGAAAAAATGTTGATTATTTTTTCTAGTTTATTGTCTGGATTTCTGTTTAAAGGAAATTTTCAATCTAATGATATACATGAGCTTAATTGTTGTATGGTAAACCATTCTAAGAATATTCTCTTTAATACTTGCTTAAGTTTCATCTATAAATTGGTGAAATTCTTACTTTTGCAATGGGCTCTTGTCACAGTAGGTTAAAGAATCCTGGTGCATTCTTGCAAAGCGAAACCCAGGAAATGTAAAGAAAGCACCTATAAATCCACACCAAACTGCTAACATAAGTTTAAACATCAGCTGGGAAGTAGGCCCACTGAAAAACAGTGAAAAAAAGTCAAGATACAGATATTTGAAAGATAAAACTGATTCAATAAATCACACATCATATGAACAATCATATAAAATTTCTAAAATGAAAGTAACCACTTTTATCACAGATCAATGTTTAAAGAGTTGTAAACTCACTTGATTATAATAAATATAAGCAATTTCCTTAGATTACTGTCAATGAAATATAAGCAGTGATTGTTTTACCAGTGTTATTATTTGAGAAAAGTATTTTCACAAGACTAATGTTTTGTATGTATATCTTAATATTTAAAACTACTTTTTAATAAAACTGATCATTTTAGGTAAAGCATATTAATCACATAATGCATTACTAATATTTTATACAAATGTAGGTATATAAACATTTTATTTAAATAATTTCTGAGACTTAGCAATAAAGAAACAGTGAATTCTCAACTGCTTATGTTGCTAACTTGACATTCCCCACTTTCAAAATTTTGCTAAAAGCTATATTCACTTAATGTTTAGAAAGGTCTTTACAATTGTCTTTATATTCTAGTGACTGAAACTGAAAAGCCTTGGTTATACAGTTCATATTTAATAAATGTTAACATATAGTTTGTTTACCTTCCTGCCCAAATTATCTTAAGAATAATAAAAATACTCTAAGTATGTTATCTAGATAACAGAGGAAGTGCTTAATCTCATTTTAATACCATGGTTGTATCCCTGGCAAAATGAGGTGGAGTGCTACAACAACCTGTCTTTTTATTACAGTTGTACTTTCAGAGCCAAATCCAAGATTTTTTTGTTTGTACCTATCACGACTGGGCCAGATAAATTTGTGTAAATGTTTTTAGTACTATCAATGATTCACTCAAAAACCTTCAATGACTTTACAGCATTATCACAGTGGAATTTTGAAAAATATAAATTAGCTGAATCATTTCAGTTATATTTTCATTTTAATATATACAAGTTTTGGTTTAATTTATAAGTGTAAAATATTAAAATTTGACAAAAATACCTTGCATATTCTATTTTCTTTTGTGAAACTTCTCAACTTAATATTCATACTGTTGAAACAATTTCCAAAACAGCCTGAATTTGTGCATGGTTTGAGAAGAAGAAAAAAATACAAAATAATACTTGCCCTATATAGCGACACATTTCAATGTTATGATAGACTGGTCTTTTTATTTTCTCTTTCTAAACAACTGTACAAAGTTGAAGTCCCTTTTTGTTAAGATACATCCACTAAGTGCAAAAAGTTTCATTTTTGTTACATTTGCCATTTAGAATAATAAAAATGTTCAAAAACTAATTTATAAACCGAACAAACTTACTACAAATGCTCAAGAAAGTACATGCATGGACATTTCTGGTAGTCAATAATACATATCTGGATAAGAAAGTATAACCTACCTTGAGTTTAAGCCCTGGTTTTCAAGAAATGAATAAGCACTTTTATTAAAACTGGTATATGCTATATATATGGAAAAAAAAGATTAATATCATATGTGTACAGATAAAGACTAAAGAATTACAAATAAGTATTAGTGTTTTAAACATTTTTTTTATATAATCTACCATAAAAACTGTCATTTGGAAATGAATTTTGTTGCTTAAAACAAAGGTTTCACACAATTTATTGCCTTGAAGCTTTTTTGAAATTTATAATTTTTCTCTGAACATATTTAGCTAGATACTTAACACATAAAGGAGGTGTAAACTAAAAACTTGTAATACAGGAAACAATTCTACTCAATGCAACTCATCAGCATTAATACAATATCAGTGGTTGTGCTAGCTTTCTTGTCAATATGTCCAACCTGCAAGTACCAAACAATTTGGTCTCATTTTCCTGGAGCTTTGAACAAATATACTACCATTTGTTTTCACAAAATGAATGGAATCCTGATAAATCTCCAAGATAAACGTTTTTCATCAGGTAAATATGACTGCACATAACTCCATGACCTTCGGCTTAAATCTGATAGCTGTAAAAATTTTGCCCTGATCCATATACCAGTCAGAATTTATGCTTTATTATGTGCACTATGATAGGTTACACAAATGATTCATTAGAAATTTATTAAAGAATAAGAAGTTAAAACATGTGAATTTAGCTACTTTTGTTGCAATGAAACTCAAAGGATGTCAAATATACTTTTCATTGATTTAAAGAAATGCCAACCTCATATTTTGAAACACATGCATGCATGTGGGAAATATCTGTGTAAAATTTAAAATTAACTTCTATTGAGTTTGATTTGTAACATCTGATGTAGAACTTTTGACTTTATAAAAATAATGTTGTGATTTTTCTTAACCAACTTTGAAAAATATTACTTTGGTTATTAATTTAAAATTCTATTAATTTAAAGAGCAGGAAAAGCAAAGCAAATGAATGAGAAAATTAACATGTGTAGATCAGTCCACATGCCAGCCAGAAGGACCTCATCCAAGGGATAGCGAAAAGATGCAAGACAGTGAGACAGGTAACAAATCTGATGTGATAAAATATGAAAGAGCCTGCATGCTCGTTAAGGGAACAATACATCAATCTAAAGAGTTAGCAAACTTATCCTGTAAAAGATAGAAGGCAAAGGTTCCTGGATGAAAAGGGGACTCAAGGTAGAAACAAATGAGGAAAGGAACCCCAAAAATGAGACATGTGTGTGAAGTAACACCAAGCAACCCATTAACATTTTCTAACACTGAAAATGTATTTCCAATGGGTACTTACCTTTTTGTCACCCAAAGCTATCTCAACCTTGATGTGCCCTCTAAGCATTACTAAAATTTAGAACAGCATACCAGTCTTTTATACCCCTTCATTTTTGCATTATTGCAGCAACATGTACTGATCATGTGACCACTCTCCACCAATAATACTGTGCCACCTATACCACCGCAGCACAATCCTCACTTTCAAGAATTGGCACATACAAACAAGAGATATCAGCAAATCAGTCGGGAGGAAGGGCAAGAAGTTGGTGAACGGAGGTAAGTACCTATAAGAAACACATTTTCAGTGTCAGAAAATATTAACTTCCGAAACGGTACTACTCTTCTCACTCAAAGTTAGAATCCCACATTTGAAAAGTGGAGGGGCAAGTGAAGGCACCAAAACAATCAAACAAGTGTAGAACAACTGCCATGAAAAACTAGGTGTGCCACAAGCAAAATAGGAGGTACACTTGTAGGATATAGCAGTACTTCTGGAACGGGTATACTCTTTGCCCAGTAAATAAGAAAGGAAGACATACAGGGTGGAATCAAATAGAATATGTGGTTAAGGCTAAAGGACCATAAATGTATATGATTAGGCCAAGTGCAGTCTGCCCAGGCAGAAAACATCCAGGGGAAGGACCTTAGAATACAACAAATTATGCCAAGTGCAGTCCACAAAACAACATAAGTTTATAACATCCACAAGTGCAGTGCAACCTGGGCAAAAAACATCTGGGAGAAGCAGCTTGGATTGAGAATATTATGATAGTGTATAATATCAAGCATACAAATCCCACTCGTGAGGAAACCTCCATGGTCCACCACTCCAGCAACTGGGAACTAGAAGTGGCAAGGAACCCCTTGCTCCACTAGAAGAAAGAGGGTGGGGATATGTATAGGACAAACAGTGCAATTTCTCTATTTTGAAAAGCAGAAAAACCGGGAATGTAAGAATCACAGGTCAGTTGGGATGGGTAAAAATCCTTATCCTCTTGACTCATAAGTACATGAGTGATGGTCCTCAGTATATATAGATACACAACTGGATAGGCAGCCGTGGTCTTACAGAAACACCCGATCTATACAGTGAGCATTAGAAAATATGCAAAGTGAGTGCTAAGATAAAAAATTCAGCATACCTGACCATCAACACCTGCAAAGAAAAAAGGAGGGGAAAAAAGATATAAAATCTCAACGGTGAACATATGTGTGGAGAATTGCTACATGCAGAAGACAATATCTGACCAAAGAAGACACAGTTAGGCAGTGCATATAGTGTGTGATGAAAGTATTGGGAGTTGTCCACATACCGGCTTGAATAATCTCCTCCAAATGATGGTGGTTCTGAGCAGCTAAAGACATAATTAAATGGAGTATTTGGTGCAAAAAAACATTAAACAGCTGATGACCTTCCATTGACAAGTCAGAATAAGCTAGTTGTACAAGTTGTTGAACCCAGCCAGTAAGGGTAATAGGAGAAAGACCACAGGAAACAGAGGGATTCCATGGAATAAACAGGCATGAACAGGAACCACAAAAGGAGTCAATACAAGACATTTAACAATGAAGGGAATGAACTGGACAAAGATGAGCCAGATCTCAATGGGAGTATAAATGGAAAATGGAAGGCAAAGAAACAGGAGAAAAGGCAAAACAATCTTCATGAGCAGCAGATGTTTTGGGAAGGAAGGAAAGATCAGGACAAAGGAGAACATAAGAAGAATGGTGAAGGGTGCAAGAAGCATTAACAGCATAAATATCAGAAACATGAAGACCCCAAGCTAGGAGGAGAAGGAAATAGGTCTTAAGATGGTACAAAGAACACAGCAATGGGTTTAAAGAGAGAACGAGTCAGGGCATGAAAAACCACATTGAGATTCCAATTTGGAAGCACAAAGGGATGGGGTGGATGAACAAGACAAAAAGAATGGGAATAATAGAGGAAAAGAAAGATATACAAAAATGGGAGAAACAGAAGGTGTTGGACAGTGCAGCCTGATAACTAGAAACAGTTGAGGACAAACCCTGATCAAATAACCAGGTAAAGAACTGGGACAGGTGAGGAACAGAAGGACAGAAGCCATGGCAAATGGACCACTGTCTGAAGGTAGAACGTCTCTGATACACAAAGAGGAAGGCTTAATGGCATGGGTAAGTACAGATGCTAAATAAGGGGTCAGTCCCTTGAGAGGAGGCGATGGACCAGACAAAAGCCATGTATGAAGATGGAATTTGGTGATGTCAGGATGAAAGATGTCCAATCAAGGTTGTTGTAGGAGTGACTTGGACTGAGGTAAGGGCAGGGGATGTTGCTCTAGTAAGGGCCAGAGCAGAGAAAACCACAACTGAGCAGGCCAATATGGAGCAACTAGCAATACATAACAAGGAGTGGTCTGGATGACAGAAACTACCCTAGAGATGAGTCTGAACAGATGAAGGCCCCCTCCAATCTTGACTGAATGCATCCATCATCAGAGCTGAAAGATGTGGGACAGGAGACCAAAAGAAAGGAAGTCTGGCATTGTAGCAAGTGGTAAAATGCATCTATATGTGGTGTTCCTAGGCAAGAACACTAAAAAACCTGAGAATAAAGGGAACACTCCATATGAAGGACTTAGTTGGGATGGGACAGACAGTATGCATCCAGATTCACAATACCAGGAACATAACATGGCAAGATCGTTATGTTGTAGTCATGGGCCCAGTACAGGAGGTCGAGTGTTTGAAAACACAGGGACCTGGACTTGGTTCCCCCTTGTTTGGTGATATAGCTGACTACAGTGGAATTGTTGGAATGAAATATAACCACCTACCCCCTGTAAGTATGGGAGGAAATGATTGAGAGCCTGAAAGACCGTCAAAGGTTCCAGGAGATTGATATGGAAAGTAGATTCCTCAATGAACCACTGACCAGAAATCTCCCGATAGTTGAGGGAAGTCCCCCAACCCACTAATGGAGCATTGGTAAACAGGTGAGAGTTGGGATAAGGCAAGGGAAGCAGAACCCCAACTGTGGTAAGAGCCCTGTTGAACCACTACACAAAGTCGGCTCTGATCCCTGGGGGAAGGATGATAGGACAGTCCAAGAGATTGTGGGAGAAATTCCACTGTTCAAGAAGCATCCACTGAAGGGAACATACATGTGCTCATCCAAAGACCCACATCCCTAAAAGAGATAGAACCTCTCAAGCACTGAGAGACCACCAGCTCCATATCCCAGAGCCGAAGTGGAGAAAGCTGGGCCTGAATGAGATGGGAACTCAAGAGAACCCCCAAATGAATGAGGTATTGTTTGGAGTTTAGAAAAGACATCTCCACTTTAATGAGAAACCATACCCAAGCAGACTCCAGAAGAGGAAAACAGGTGTGAGTGTCAGACTGGGCCTGGGAAGAGTCGAACAGTAGCCAATTGTCCACATAATGATGAGTCCAAAGACCAAATGAGTGAAGATGACATGCAAAAAAATGGACAACACAACAGAAAACATAAGAAGCCAAAGCAAAACCAAACGGCAGTGCTTGGAACTAAAAGACAAAACAAAGATAATGATGTAACTGGAGTGATGGGAATATGAAAATAAGCATCTGTCAAATCAAACTGGGTCATTCAAAGACCTGGGGAAACCCACCAAAGGGAGAGGAAGGATCCCATGGTGAATTGTGGTGTTTCCAGAAAGGTATTCAGCCAGGACAGATCGATGATGGATCTCCAATCTTCCATCTTTTTGGCGACAACAAACGACGGAAGTGAAATCCCGGAAGAATTGGCACTACACGTTTGATAGCTCCTTTGTGAAGAAGGTTGCAAACTGACTCTGTTAGGAAACCAGGATAGAAGGTTGGGGGAAGAGGACTGGAACTGAAGGCAAAGACCCTCTGACAGAACCTGTAAAACCCATGGATCTGTCGTAAAGAGTTCCCAGGTAGTTGAAAACTCTTGTAACCTGCCCTTGAAAAAACATCCCATCACCTATAATGCTGACTTCTGTAGGGACGGGAAGAATGAGCATAAGGAAGGGAATCCCTGGAGTAGGGTAAGGGACAGGTAAAGGAAGAAGGTGCAAGGGAAACCCTAACAGGTGAAGATTGGGCAGTAGTTCAAGACAAACTAGAAGCCAGGGAGGACAAGGTGGAATGTAGTCTTACCACATTAACCCTGGACTCCATAGACTGAGGATGACCCCCAAAGAAACGAGGCCTGACAAAACTCCTTCAAAGAAGAAAGGGGAGATGCACCTCCACAAATCCCAACAACATAAGATCCAGGTGGTGTGCTGTTCAAAATCTTAGCAATGCTTAGAGAGAAAATCAAGGTCAAGATAGCTTTGGGTGAGGTAGTACCATTTTGGAACAGGACACAGAAAATGATCTGGTTCTGAAGGAGTATAGAGGTGAGAAATCAAAGAGAGGGAGATAGAACAGAAAGAATGATCACCTACTTGAAGCAGAGGTCTTAGAAAAAAACTATCTCAGTAGTGAGCAAGTAAATGCAGTAACAGAGAGTGTAGAAAGCATCAATGGCATACACATATAAACAATAGTGACCACAGGCAAGAAGAAGGAAATATGTCTCCATAGAAATATGTTATAAGGAACATAAAGCCAGAAGCTCAAATGGAGCATATGTAAGAGCATGCAAAACCAAATTCAGGTCCCAGCACACATGGGAGTAGGACAAGAGGGTTGGTGAAGAAGGAAGGATCTCAGCAAAGTGGAGAAGAAAAAACATGGCAGTAAAGGAAGGGATGAAATGTAGTTGATAAAACAGCCCAATAACCAGAAATGGTGACAACTAAGTGAAAAGGCAAAAAAAAAGTAAGCCAAAGTAGGACAACCTAGAAGAAGGGAGTGGTGGATGGACCAATGTTGGAAAACCTGACACTTATGCTAATAGATGGATAGAGTTGAAGGATGACAGAAATAGGATAATAAAAAGACTAAATGATTGGAGAGTCCAATCATCACAATGAGTGCCATCATCACATCATGGACAAGCACAGTTCATGTCAAACACGTGTTTTGTGATGGGATATAATTCAAGGCTAGTGGCATGCAAATCCCATACACAAATGCACAAAGGTATTGAGCTATTCTGTGTGCTGATGTGAGGTACTGTCTCAAACTTATTTTACATGTATTACTTGTTTTGCAAACTGACTTATAGAGTTGCATTTAGAGAAATTCTTAATTTTTATCTTAGGTATTTTATCAAATACAGAGAGATTACCGATATTTCAAAAGCCATGTATAAATCTACATGTTCTTTCCATTAACATGGTAAATGATACTAGGCTTTTAGCAGTTGTAATTAAAGATCACAGAAAACTAGGAGAAAATCTTTTGGTAGAATGTCATGTAAGAAGTATCCCATCAGATTTTTATTTCTTATTTCTAAAAAAAAAGGAGGAGGATAAAAGAATACTTGAAAACAGAGAGATTATTGAAACTTTAACAAATCAAAAAGTAATGTGTGCTAGATAGTACAAGTTGACTATAAAGGTAAAATTACTCATTCTATCAGACTCCTAGAAAGCTAATAATTAAATATTTGATAACACCAAAGACATTAGCAATTTTCTTAATCCTTTGACTGCCAATACAGGCATAATGTTTGAATTAAGTTTAATGTTTTATCTACCATGGGTTTATTTTGGTTTAGCACCTTATAATAATTACTTAAGATTTAATTTAGTTGACTTTTTTCACCAACACAAATGCATTATTTAAAATAGCCATGAGAGCCATAGATAATCATGCTGGCCATAGAGGTATATTTGATATCTTAGAATAGGAGTCGCATTGCAGGTAAAGCACTTGGAGAAACAGTTCATTTACAAGCAAGTCCCACATACAACACCATACTGCATACAAAACATATCACAGAAAGAAGGAACAACAAAACAGATTGGTCAGTTTTATGAATAATGAAAATTCAGCATTTCAAAATGGACTCAAATAATAAATTGATTATTCAAAAGAAAGAAAAAACAAAAAAAGAAAAATTAGAGAAAACACTGCAGCAAAGATTCATTCCTAAATAATAAAGCATTGGGAAAGATCAACTGACAAGAAAACAGGAAGTTAAAAATATTTTGTGTTTTATAATGTTTGCTTTAAATCATATTTCTTCTTTGTTGTATGTCTACATTAAGTGTTATAAAGTGTTCTTTACTTGATTTTGTCAAATAAAGATTCTAACTTTTTACGACGTGTTTTTGATAAGCAAATAAACAGCATTCCATAGTTTCCCAATTTTCTTGCTAGCATTAAAACATTTCCTTGTTTAACTATGAATGTCCGTCACTGACTATCGCGTAAAAACTACCACCCAAACCTTGCAATATTAATGAAGTTCTATGAAAATTTATAAGGTGATACACAATTACACCTCTAATGTAAAAGTTTCTTAAAAAGCAAGTCAATTAGATTTTTAAACTTACCTGCATCAAGTCCAAACTCCAAAAAATTTTCATCAGTTATAAGAACAACCATAGCAGCAACAAAGAAAAACAGTCCAGCCATCAGACAGAGGGATCTTTCACCAAGTGCTTCTTCACCACTAAAGTATAATGCTGTCACAGAGAAGAGAACTTTTCTGGTTCGAGTTAATTACAATATAACAGAAAAGTATTGGTCTTTATAAAGCTCCACAACATGTTTACTTACATTAAAATCTACTCAGTGAAAGTTAGTAAAGTGAGCACACTGAATATGTAAAAGTTATTATGCTCTGTGATTATGCAAAATAAGAATAACTAAAGATCTCATCTGTATGCATATGTGGTGATAACATTTTGAAACTCTACAAAAGACAATGACAGAAAAAAAATTTAGCATTAGGTACCACATTTGTTAAAAGAAGTTCACAGTGGCATACATAAATGTACAAAAAGAAATCTCTTGTATGAAGAATCTAAATAAGAATTTACCATAAACAGCATTTATATTTGAATAGTTTAAAACTTATCTGTTAATGAAAATATTTACACACTTATAACTTATTTTGATAAAATATAGCTAATAAATGAAAAAATATAGACATGAGAATGCCTTAAATAGTTTGTCGTAACATTCTATGTGTATACAAGAAAACTATATGCCACTTGTTTTCTTTTCAACATTCAAATAACCAATTTGTTTTTGTACTATTCATTATTGGCGAGATCAAAATGTTGGATCACACTGTGTGGATTTGTTTTGTCTCTTAAAACACTCAATGTAAATAAGAAATGGCTATATAAAACTGGTAAAACACACATGAGGAACCCAGCAGTAACTAATGGAATTGACAGCAATATTTTTTGTGTGTATAATTGAAGTTACTTTTATTCAATTTTTTGTGATTCACATCGTATTAGGAACACTGCAACCAACAAAATAATTGGCTCACAAGTAATTTGATGAATAAAGCTTGGAAAAATGTGTTTAGAAACCTGAGAGGTCCATATGGTCCAAGTGTTGATTAATTTAAATGTACATTTCTTGTAAACATTACATGCCACCAAATCAAAATCAAAGACCTATATTCATAACATTGCCTGCTTCTCTGAGCCTTTTTAAATAAGCACATGTACAATGGCTCAAATAAGATTTTATCCAAGATGTACTGTTAATGTTTAAAAACAACTAAAAAGTTCAATGTTTCTGCAACTAATAACTATTAATAGCAAAATATTTTAATATATAATCTAAACTTTCCAGAATCATAAACAGATTGTTCTTAATGGTCAATAGAAAAAGTCCTCGTGTGTCTTAGTCCACAATACACAATATGCTTGAGAAGTTCCTCTGTCTCAAAGTTATTTCCACAACATATTTGCTCAACTGTCGCACCGCAATCAGACTGTTGAAATGGGTGCTGAGAAACTAATATCCTTGTATACTATATTGATTATGGAAAGAATACAGGGAGAGGTAGTGTGCTTTTGATATGATAATTTTATGACAATGCTTTTGTAATAGTACAGGACTATTGTCAAGATGCATGGCTGTCAGATAACATATGATTAGACATAGCAACACAGACTTTAATGATGTAGTGAGGATCCAAATCAATTTAATAAAATGTAAGCAACATCTGTACAAGATCATTTAAGTGTTACTTATACACAGTTGTTTGTGAAAGTCTACAGTATAAATGGTGGAAGTTTGTTATAAAAAGTTTTTATGAAGTTAGATTGTAAAATTTTCCTATAATCTCCAATTTATCCACATCATAAAAGCCTCTCAGAACAAAAATATAACTTTAAAAACACTTAACAGTAAATACCAAATATGACACACTCACTAATATATTATAAATAACTTACACAGATGTTTAGTATAACCACCTGTAAGAAGCAACTTGCTTCTGTACAAAAAAGGATACAAAGAAAAACCTATAACAAGTATACACCATAACACGCTGAGATTAACCTCATCATTTGGAGCAAGAAGAAAGTAATAAAGTTCTGTAACAAAGTAGACGAAAACTGCACACACAGAAAAATCCAACAGCCATTGGTATTCTGTGTAGAACTGAAGCTGAAAGAGCTCTACAGGTTGCACTACTGCTGAATCAAGCTCCATCTGTAGGTTTTTAGGCACAAGAAACTCTGAATCTTTGTTTTGGTCAGTAAACCTGCAAGCAAATAAAGAAAACTTAAATATGTTAGCATACCATCAGATCAACAAGAATATCAAAAATGTTATACTAAACAATTACACAATACTTACTGAAGACCTTACCACTAAATCTCTTTTCAAGGACCCACCAATTATTTCTTACAGACATGACAAAAACCTAAAAGAAATACTGGTGTGCAGTAACCTTAAACAAAAACAAAATGATATTCCAGGCATCAAACATGTAAATGAAACAGATGTGTAACCTGCCCACATATAAACAGCACTACACACATAGAAAAGAATACAACTTTCAATATAATGTATCATTTACTGTATAATTTGCAAAAGATGCAACAGTTTATACATTGGACAAACAGACTGCTGACTCGGTGATTGAGCATAAGAACATCTATACCATATTAAACAGCAGAACAAAGATACACCTATAGGCAAATATTTCACCATCAACAACCACACAGTTGAGGACTTTTTGATCCTTGGACTTATTAGTGCACCAACAGACATTCACAAAAGAGAATGACTGGAAAGGAGATTAATCTCTAATCTGGGTGCCCTACAACCATCTGGTGTAAATGAATGCTTTTCTTTTCTGTAGATTTCTATTTTTCCATTTTTTTGTTTAACTTTTAATTGCTATCTATTTATCTTTTCATGACTTATAATTTTTATGTAATAGATGTAATTTTGTTTAGAATTTTCATGCTCAACATTCCAAATACCTAGCATGCAAGTTCTTTGAATTCTGAGCATTCATTCGCCTTTGTTGTAAACTGTACAATCTGACGAGGAGCGCCAGCTTGAAATGTCATCCTTCTTTAAATAAAAATATATAAAAATTTTGCAACTGTTCAACCTATTATTTAATTTTAAAGAAGTCTATGGGCTTGTTTATTTTAGTAATGAATATTGCAACCTGGTAATAATTGTAAATCATTAATATTGTTGGTATAGCATTTTGTTAGCTAATTATAGCCATTTTAAATATACTAAAATCTTTAAAATCATTTCCTTTGTATCAAAAGTGAGAAGTGACAATTATGTACATAAATAGTCATTTCAGGATAGCATTTATAACTGTATATATATTTTTTTATCAAAGTTGAAAATCAAAAAAAAATCTAATTCCTACATGTATAATTAGAGCTGAGCAATTTAATTAATTAATTGGTACAATCGATCACCAATGAGCATCAACTACATTGATTAGTGTTATGTAAAAAAACTGATTAACTGAAATTATGAAGAAATCTGTTATGTCACAAAAATAATCAACTAGTGTTTCTAATTATTAGTGCTTTTGATTATTCTAACTATCCAATAAAAGAAATATTACCATTATGGTTTTTTCATTATTATTGATTAATCCAAGTTTGTTCAGTTTAACTGCTTAGTGTCGTGAATAATGAAAATGATCATGTAATTGAAATTAGGGTTTCTTTTGATCACTATTTTTAATTATTCCAACTATCCAAGTATTGTTTCTTTGCTATTAAGCAAAAAGCTACACAAAGGGCTATGTGTGCTCTGCTTAGTCTGGGTATCAAAACATTATCTGTAGTGTTATTTTTTATTTATTCAAGCCAAATGAGAAAAATCAATATTTTTTTATATTCATTTTTTCTAGCCATCTCATGAGAAATAATTTATAAGTTGAATACAATCAATTAATGAGCTTGATGATTAATTGATAAGCTCATTCCACTAATCACCCAACTCTCTCTCTCTATATATATATATATAATGGTAGCTAAAACAAAATATATCATGTACCTGTCTCTTCCTTTCTTCCCTTTACTTCTAGAAGAATCTCTTACTCCAGCAATTGTTTTCAGTTCTTCATTTGTTGGATGTAGATAGTGGACAAGCCTAAATAAATAAAAAAGAAAAAAAAAAGAACCGTGGGTATCATAAAGCAAAAAAATGATTCACACATAATAAATGTCCTTTTTAAAGGTACTAGTTGTTACTAAGTTGTTGAATATTCTAAAAGATACAGTTAATGAACAGTACTCATCACCAGCTTTGGGTTAGTTTAATCAAACATTTTAATCCAGATTTGATAAATAAAGATTACAGTATGCTTTACAAAATATATATTTTTCATGTTGCATTTAAAACTCAACATGATTTGTTTCAGAATTTCACACAGTTATGCAAGGATTCTGTGCAATAAACATCCCAAATTTTGAACTGGTAAGCTAAAGTGAAAACAGCAGGTCCCAGCACCATCTCTTGTCTGTTCAAATAGTAGTGGGATTTCACTATCAGTCTCATGACATATCCATGGACCCAAAGTGAGGACTATGTTTTTGAGGAGGGAAGAGGTCAAAGAGTTATCATCAACTCTTCACAAAATATTTTATTTCAAACAATATTCGAGGAGGAGGATGTTAAGATACTAAGTATTGCAATTATCGAACAGGTCTGCAGTAAGTTAGTGTGATTTGCTTCACAGTATTAGCAGCACAAGTTAAATTATCAAAGACCTTTGACAAAGCACTAGTCATACACCACGGAAAGAGAGATACCACATTATTAAAATCATGTTTATGTTCTCAGACCAGAACAAGATAGATTTCTATACAATGTACAATGAATCAATCCTGATTATTGTATTAAAACTACCATACTGAAAATTAGTCACCATGCCTGATTATATATACATTTTTCAATGATGAATAGTTTCCAACACTGATGAAAAACATTGGTTTTAGTTTCTTGATTTCCAGTCTCTCTTTGATTCTTACATTTTGTTCATTGATGGAACTCCATATTAGGACAAAGTTATTTTCATTAGAAGTTCTGTAACATTTCTGAACTAAATGAATTATCAGCACTAGGCCTGAGCTCTAAATGACACATGGTTGATCACAAATAATCTCATTCACACTGAGTACAAACATATTAATAAACAACATGGGAGGATTGAAGGTTTTCAAGATATAAGACAGAACTTTATAATTTATAAAATGACAGTATGATAATATCTTAATTCATTTTACAAGGGGTTTATACTCTATTTAAAAATAAAATAAAAATGTTGTCAAGAAGTTAGAGGTGAAATCTATTTTTGAATAACAAATTTTTTACACTTTCTATTTCTTTGTGAAAATCATGACACTTACTGACAATATGATTGTTTTAGAGACAATATTATATTGCCAGAAACCACAATTATTTTCATAATATGTGTTGTTAAAAAAATGGTTTTCATTTCTCATTACTGTAGTAAATAAAGATAGAACTCAATTCAATTTAGAACAATAGGATAGGCCCATGCTTTATTATAGGAATTTGGTTAAGGTACTGATTATGAAGTAATGGTATTTCTCTGAGTAACTGGAGTTACGAGAATGGACCAAGTAAAGAGACTGAACACAAAGTAAAAACATGAAATGGACAATCTTTATTGTATCACGCATAAAACACAAACACAGTGTGTATACTTGCTTTATTGACATGGGACACTCACTTTTATTGGATGTTCTATCTTCAAGTGCTTAAGCTGAAACCATAGACCAGCATTCCTTATTTTGCAAGAAACATTTTATTTACCCAGAACAACTAGTGATAATCAAATGACTGGTCATTTTCATTCAAACACAGGTGTGCCTGAATATAGATATTACCTTAACTACCATTGAAAGACACTGCTGTTGACATCCTTGCACAAAATAAAGTGCTGAAGCAAAACCACTCAGGAGCGAAACAAATATTATCTACTCAAGAATAACAAAGCAATAAATGCTACTAAAATGAAATCAATTTAATACATTCACTGCCACTATAATACATTCATCATAGTCATAGGAATATCACATCAAAGTTTCTGTAGGAATTTGAATTCTTCTTTTTTATCGTGTGTTTTGAAGGAGCACTATTTTTATCCATCTTAGAAATGCCAAATAGAATATATATATATAAAATTTACAACCAAGCAAAATTTCTATGAGAGGAGACCCTCACGAGAATGCATCACAGCAGAAATTACTTCTAATGCATGGTGACTCCAATTAAATGCATTTGCCTCAGTGTTCTAAGTTGACACACAAATACACGGGTAGCACTGACTAACATACCTATAAATTTACCCTTCTTGTACATTCAAAACATACTCAAAAACCATGACAAGATATAAAAAAATATATGATGCACATGTACATCATGGTACGGATTTTAGTTGAATGAACATATATGCCCATAAATATCCTATCTGATATTATCTTGCATTATTAAAATGCTTCTAATCAAAACTAAAAACCAATGGCACCTCTGAGGTGGCACTGAATGTGTTATGTTTTTTTTTTTACCACACACTATGTGTAACCTGCACATACACAAATAAATGATAAGTGCAAAATAAGTACTATAATATTACAAAAAGATTGAAATGTGTGATATTTTCAAATACCACACTTTCCACTCTTCCCTATTTGAGGTTTTTGCAGCAGGACAGCGGGAACAGTCCCAAAGTCAAATGACATTCCTGTTGGTACAGTTATAGCTGGTGACTCAGATGATGAAACCAGTGGACTTGATCATTTATGAAAGGATTCTTTCCAAACAGAATATGACATGATCAGCTCGAATCAATACGACAACATAATCTCCATAAAGTAAACTGACAAATTCATGTACCCAGTGTTATACTGTGGTCCTAATGATAATGTCTAAAAGTTTTTCATATCTGCAGTATTAGTTCATGTTTTGTAATGTTTCTGTACTTAGAAGTTTATAGCAACTAGAAATGTCATTTCCCTGACAACAAAGATTTTGCATTAACCATTAAGTTTTAATCTTACCTGAATGAACTGTTTAATTATATGTAAATAAACTAAAAGTTTTCATTTAGTATTGGTGACAACACTTGGATATTTATTAAAATAATATCAGTATTCTCCTTTAATTGTGTCAATATTTGGCAAACAGAAAAATATGTAGGTTTCCCACTGGGCAACCAGAAATTCCACCCTTATTTCAAGTGCTGACTCCACATGGTTGACTCTCACTTTTGCAGTCTTTCCAGTACTTATGGGCCATGCTAAGCCCAACTGAACATGAATTCATCAATATTGTTGTACATTAAAAGCTACTAGCCGAATTCCTTTATCTAGTGTTTCTGTATTACATTGCTAAAACATCTTTGTTTTCCAGTGTTTTAAAGACTAAAAGTTTCAACCAAACAAGTGAAAGACAGCAATAGAAAATTATTTCAATTTAAAAATTTCGCTAATAACGAGATGATGCGGTCTATATGCAAAGCTTCTTAATATTTGGAAATAACTTTATAATATATTATTAATGGCTCTTCAAGGCTAAAGACCTACATCTCCACTGGCACAAGTAAGTTTATGTTTCTGGGTACAAAAATACATTCTGACAAGAGTTCGAGAAACTGGAAACTTTGTATCTTACATGTGTAATAAAACACCTGCGGCATAAGCATCCCAAAAGATTTCAATTTCATTCACAAAAATTCAAAATCATAACATTTGTCATAAAATCTAAAATATACATTGGAGTGACTAGTATGACCTGAGAACAAGACAGTAAATATGAAACTCTTGATTTTAACACTTTATTCAAAATATTCTATAGATTGTATAAAAACAAAATATTACCAACACAAATCTTTCGTAAAACTAGTTGTAATTTTGTTAATATTTCAGAAGTATGTTATAGGATTACGAGAAAGTGAAAAACTAATAAACTTGCATGCAGCATTCATTTGGTCAATCATATCACTTATCACTAGTTTTTCACAAGTAGGCTGTAGAGATAGCACACAATGGTAGCATAAAGATATGGAGCTATATCTTAACTTGGCACTCATTATACAGTAAAAGCTTTGTTACCTAGCACCTTTGCATTTGGAAAGCTCTTGTAACCAGAAATTTCAATATTTATTGCAGCTTAGTGTTGCTGCTTTGACTTTGTTTATGTTTTTTCCTGCCAAAAAGCTTCAGTTGTCAGCCACATTTGAAATACTGTATTTTTATATTCAGTGGAAGTTTTTTACAACAACTGTTGTTGTTGTAGAAGAAGTAGAAATACAGTACTTTAGAACATTAACAAGATGTCAAAGATTTTCCTGTAAAATATCATAAGGGAAATGCTTTCATAACCAGAATTTTCATCTATCTGACACTGCCCTGATCCAGCAGAACCAGATAATAAAGGTTTTATTGTTTTTTTATGGAAAACTTAACTGAAAACAATTTATTCTATTGCAGAAATTCTAGATTAAGTGTGTCTGACAAGTGTTTAACATTATATGTAGCATTAAAACTGTAGACAAGATGACATTGGCAACAGATAAAAGAAATCATGAGATAAAATACCAGGCGTTAACAGTTGTATCACCACAGCTCACCCTTTTATACTTATATGTTCTGTCTCCTAGTGACTCAGAGTATAACTTGAGAGCTTATAACACTTGAATTTGAAGTTTCATCCTTGTGGTGGACAGTGCAGATAGCTAATTGTGCAGCTCTGCATTAAAACAGAACCAAATCAATGTTCTTTATGAGCCTGTACATGAGACATATAATTGTAATGTAGTGAGGCTCCAAATCATTTTAATATAATCCAATCAATATCTGTAAAATATCATTTAAATGTTCCTTATACATAATTGTTTGTGAAAAGATACAGTATAAAGGATAGAAGTTTGTTATAAGAAAGTATCTGTGTGATGTTAGATTGGAAAATTTTCACATATTCTCTAATTTATCTACATCATATGTCTTTCAGAACAAAAATTTAATTTTAAAAACACTTAATGGATTCATTATAAAGCAAAGTAAATCACGTTCAGTTCTCAAACAGACAATGTATTTCATAAACAGTTATCAGATATCATATATCAAAGTTATAATTCTTATTTGGTAATCTGTGGCTCCAAATCTACTGAAGCAAAAACCTTTGTTTTTTCTTTAATTCATATATGTAACCAACATGTCTTGAAGCTTGGGTGTGATGTTTCAGTTTTATTTTTTTGGTAGAATCATATTTTTATACTTTTGTTCTATTATAACTATTAATATAACATTCTAGAAACTGCTTAAATGAATTGTATATTGTAAAGATTCAGGTATTTAACCATGTAATAGAGGTTTCAAGACCAGACAGTTCAGGTGGGTAGAGCACTGGTTTGTGTGTGTTCGGGATACTAAATAAGAGTACCAGTCAGAAAAGAATGCTTTAAAGCAACTGTTGAACATTAGATCTGATTATCTGGATTCAATTCCTTTATAAACAACTTTTTGAGCATTAAATAGGTCAGAATAAAAACATTTGTTTCAGAATTATTAAATGTACCGTTTCAGAACTTGTGGAAAGTAGTGCAGTACAGGGATGTATTACATTTTCCCACACTCTTAGTTAAATGTTAATTTTTTTAAATTATGTTGTTTTTCATATTTCCTCTTTTGAAAACAGAGGTGCTCTAGTGAATAACTAACATTAACTTTCTCTATGTGACAAGTGAAGTTCTAGGTAAAGGACAAAGCTTACTTGTGTGATTAATTAATTAGCAAGCTGAGTTGTTCTTGTCAGTGAATCAGATAATACTTTGCAGGTGGTCTTGCTCATTGTCAGTACTGTCCATCGGCTAACTGATCAAACATGAAACAATCGTTGTTTTTCATATACTAGAAATCTGAAGGTTTATTGACATATCTAAGATATCGTTGGGGCTTAAAAGAACAGAATTCTAGAACTTGATAGATTTGGAGCAGTCTTGGTTGTGTGTAGACATAAATGTACAAAGTTCTCTTTTGCATGATTCTATTTCATTCTGTGAATATTTGGCTGAAGCCTTCTGTTTCTTTCACTTTTACTTTAATTTAGAATGAGAGTGCATGTGACTTTCAAATGTACTTTAATTTTGATTAAATTCACATTACAAGAACGAGGTTATTGTTGTTTCATATTAGAAGTGAAACTACTTAGAGTGTAGTGCTTGCTCCATTATTTAGAGTTAGTATTTGGAGCATTGTTGATGAAACCCATGTAGGATCTTGAATTTCACATAGTATGTATTTAGGTATTGATTAGAGTTATTTTAACTCTGGTGTTTTTTCTCTTTTACTCAGATTAACTTACAAGGGGGAACTACATGCACAAAGAGCTATTTTGTTTACTAAAATCCTAATTAGCTCTTATACATATACACAAGATCACTTGCACTTGCCTTATTGTTGTGTTATTACACATTGTTTTCTGTGTGAACTTATGTCTCATTTCTTTCTTTCTGAGTTAACTGTTGCAATTTGAATGGAAACATACAAATCAAAACCCAAGCACCTACTGTTGTTAGCAGGCCTAACTTCTCTGCTCTGCTTGTTATCCTAGATATACCACAGTGGTAACTACCTTCTTTGACAAATGACACAAATGCAAAATCTTGGTAATTCTAATAAATTTCTATTTTAATCAATAATTAAAATTATTTTCTATTTTTATGCACATAATAAAATGTTTGACAATAATGTTAATTCTCTTTCTGCTAATATATTTTCCTCAGTGTACAGAGAAATAAATGTTATTCTTCATTCATGCTAGCCTCAGTACAAAAAATTCACTAATTCTGTAAACTAATTAAGTGTATAAATGAAGTGTTGATAATTTATTTTATGACATAATGTTTAAATATATACTCCTGTAAATAGTATTCTGATAAGCTACAGTATTTGACAAAATGCATGTACAAGTAATAACTTACCTGTATGACAAAAGCCAACGAGCAAATGAAAAATTAGATGACAGCTTCTGCAAAAAGCTGGCCATCACCATGGTAATCACCAATTGTACACCGAATACAGCCTAATACAAAAACATACCATATATTTTAAATTAAAACATACTGGTACAAGTTATCACTCAATCATTTTGTATGTAAGTGTCCAACATTCATTTAATCTTTTTTTTGCTTCTTTGAGAAAGTGCTGTATTTATACATGCCTTTATTTTATAAGCATTTTAGTTATTATAATACAGACGTAGCTGTATAAAAATTGTCAGTGTTAGTTTTCTTCTGGAATATTATAAACTTGTGAAAGTTTAAAACTGATCTTAACAAATAAAAACTAGACTACAATAATCCAATTCTCAAAGTTTCAAGCACCATGCCACAAACAAAATACCATATACAATGTCCACAGCACCAATGTCCAAACTTTTGTTATGCTCAGTTATAAAACATTACTTAACATATGAAGTAGAACAGAGAGGTTTAAACATGTGCCTTCCTCGGTATTAATTAGTAACATCACAAACCAGAGGTCTGCAAACAATTTACAATCACATATGAAACATGTATCTGCCTAACTTGAGATTCAACATGAAGCTTATACAACACAAATTAGGTACAGGTACTTTACCATTACAGCACACACTACAGAATAGATGCTAAAATATAACCTTTTAGATTATGCACATACAGCACGAATTATACAAAAAAGTAAAAAAATCCACATTATCAGGTAAACTATTCCACAATAAAACCATTATGATACACACTTTTATAAGAAAAATCTGGTTCTAGATTGCCAGAGCCTATAATAGTTCCTTTTAATGTTTAAGTCACCAATAACAATATTGTTACTCCAGAAATCAAAATTGTACACAGATACATAGCCTAAGTGTTTCCAAACTGTCAAACTGTTTCCAAGTTGTTACAGTGTCACTCCATATATAGAAAAAAAAAAAGCTTCACTGTTTCACTTTGGAAATTTGGTAACCCTAACTTTAACCCCTAAGTACTTGTGTGAGTCCATGTGATTCCCAACCAAATAATAATGGCTCTCTATCAATGGTCTATAATGTTTTTTTCTCTGCTAACTTTACATGGAAAGGAATGAAGAATTAAGTTTCTTTGAAAATTTTAAATATGTTTTTGTTCCCCATTTGAAATGGCCTAAGCAATTGTGGACGTCTCACATTCATATATATTCTCTAAATTAAGCATGAAAGTATGTATTGGTCTGTTTTATTCAGTCTTACAGAAGTTCTGTTAAGACTCACATGTGTTCCTGTGCTCTACTGATATCCATCACTCTCTGTCTTGTAGTCTACAACAGCTTTACTTCATACTGATATTCATCACTTTCTGTCTTCTAATCTACAACAGCTTCGTTTCATCTAACAAGTGTACGTGTTGAATCTACTGTCAGTTTTATTATACAGGTATTTTGTGCAGAGATAACAGATTTGTGGCACATGAATTTATAAGATTCGAGAACTTAAATTCAGTTTAGTCAAGAGTGTGGAACTGAAAACAAAACTTGTCCAAGGGCAAAAATGTGAGAAAAGTCTACTTGTCCTTCTTAGAAATATACTTACCTTGTCCCTATCCAAAAAAACATACACATAATAAAGTTGAATATAATTTTTTGGGGATTTTGCTTTTATTTAATGAAAAGTAAAATTCTGAGTATCACACATCAAGAAAGTGAGACAAAATGCACTGATGACCCAACTTCATGCTTTCTATGAATTTAAATGTATAACATTTGTCATAATATCTACGTTGCATGCATTATTTTTCAGGCACATTTTAAAAGTATTTCACATGTCTTTCAAAGGTTAGTAAAATGACAATATATAAACATGTTTTTAGAAAATGTTTGACATCAAGGATTATTATTTTTGGATATACTTTCTGTTGTTAGTTGTTTGGTTTTTTTTAACCCTTTGGAAGCTATAATCGGATTTATCCGACTTGACATTTATGGCCGTTTGGTGCAACAAGCAGATTTACCCCATAGTGTTACAAAAACTTTTCCTCATAGTGCGACAATCAGGATACTAACACGTCCTTGAATTTCCCACCTTAGTACTGTGCATGTGTACGTCACAAAGTAAAAATTAATTTTGATATTGAAAAAGTACTAAAAAAAGTCAAATTTTAAATTTCATTTATTAGTAGATAACTGACACTTTACGAGAACCCAGCCAAAATTGAGTTACGCACTCAAAGGGTTAAAATATGAAATAAAAAACAAATGGATGCATGCGAGTACTAATGATCAAACTTGAATATTATATATACGTATATGAAGAGCCAAGATACAAAATTCTGCACATCCAATTTTACAATTGAGAAAGTTACCTTTTTTTCTTCAGCCTTCACAAAAAATGTTATGAAATCAAAGGTGGACTGCATATTAAATGAAACCATTACAAATTATTATATGAACTCCTAAAAAACACATATTTATTTCAAGTTTTACAAAATCTTTTTTTTTTTTTTACAGGGAAACACTTCATATTAATAGGCCTTTTTAGTCAAGATTCTAAATATTCATTAATACAGTGCCATTGGCATTTCAGTTTTGATAGGAATAGTGCATACTGTGTTTTGAATATAAGCTCTTCACATATTTGTTCATGCATTTTATGGTTTTTCAAATTTAATTCTTAATTAAGCTCATCAATCCATTCAACTAATCAATTATTTTCATGATATGGCAAAAAAGAAAAAACAACTTCTAACCCTAAAAATTTGGTTTTGACACCTTTGGTGGGCAGAGCACAGACAGCCCATTTTATAACTTTGTGTTTAACAAACAACATAATGGCAATATTTTGTTTACTGTGATAGTTGGGATAGCCAAAAATAGTAATAAATCAGAAACCTTAATTTCAGTTAGTTGATTGTCTTTGCAAGTTCATTAAGCTGAACTTTAATTAATTGAAATAATAATGAAAAATAACAATGCCAATATTCTGATTACTGGGTGATTGAAATAATCAAATATAGTAATAATTAGAAACAATACTTTTGATAATTTTTGTTAAATTAATTGACATAATCACAATTTGGATACTGGATAGTTGGAATAAACAAAAACAGTAATAATTAAAAACATCAGTTGAACCATAATTTTGATTAACTGATGATTTTACATGACACTACTTGATGTAATCAATTAATTGCCCAGTTTTAGCTGCTACAAACTGAAATCAGATTTAATATATAAATGTACATATAAAAATATATTGAGGTCAGGGTGAAGAGTTCACCCTACTCAGGCCTCCTTTTTTTGTCTATTGTTTTTTCTATAATTAAGGGTGAACAACTTAAGTCTTTAAAGAAATATTTGTAAATTGGTGTTTTTTCATGAAATTTTTTGAGATAAGGTTGTGTTTATGATGAGTAACATATTTTAAAATTACCTCCCCCCCAATAAGAAAACTGGATTTGTTCCCATGTATATGTATATATTACATTTTAAACCTTTTTGTAATTTCTATTATATATATATTCTTCCTTGAGTTTGCAATCAAACTTTTACTTGGCTCCTGCTGCAGACAAAAACAATTTAATAATATTGTGGCATTAATTTAATTATGTTTCTTACTGTGTATGTGTGTGATTGAGGGTTTGTGAATTAAAATGATATGTATATTTGTATATATATAGTTTTGGTTTAAGGTTTCCAGTTTTGAATGATAGTGTATATGCACTAGATTTCCACAGTTAGGAATTTTCAGGAACTTGCATGGTTCACTAGAAATCTACTCAAGAGTGGTTTTCTAGCAACATAACAAATGGTGTGAAAAACAAACAAGTTGTCCAACAAGCAAAGTCTAACGGTAAAACTTATTGCCTCAGGTGTTGAATAGGAATCCACACTCCTGCCATTAAACTATATAATAATGTTTCATACAGGAAGAAAATATGTTCCCGAAAAGCAAACATCAAGATTCGATGATGAGGAACCCACTTTGAGACTAATAATGGCT